AACCGGGTTGATATCAGCAGGTCGAATCGTATCGACAGCCCTCCCCCAGTCACTTTGTGGCAGAGTCAAAGAAACCCGACGTAATTATAGATACACCGCGCTATTTAACGCGAAAAACATTTTGCTCCAACAACTCGGGCTTTTTGTGCAGATGCTTAAAAGGAGATTATCACCACTCGAGTGACGCGTTCGGTCTGACGGTCAGTTTGCTGGCGCTCAGCGAGAATACATCCGATATGACACCAGGCGCCTTGAGCAAATTTCACCAAAATCTGCGGCAAGCGCGTCCTTGGCCGAAACAGTGACCATCGGCAAAAAATTTGGCGAAAACTTTTAAAAGCTGCCTGGATGTTTCCTTGCCGGTACCTGTTTTCCTGACAGCAGCAATAGTACCACGGCCCACAAACACACAACATCAAAATTGTCGAACGCGTCTTCTAGAATACCAAAATTAAATTCCATACTATTTGACCGCCAAGATTTTGTCGGAATCGATTGTTTAGCTAAAGCACGAGTACATGTAGCGAGAATTAAGCCGGTGGAATGTTTCTCGACGTACCAACTTAAACATGTTGAGCCATCAAAACATTTCGCTTGCTATATTAGTAGCAGCCTAAAGATGCGATGTATCAAATATCTCGTACAGTAGTCTAAACTTGTAGTCATCATCACGAGAAAACAAGTGTCGAGTGTATCATTGCGATCACATAGCAGCTTAGCGCTGAAACGGGGTAAAACTTGCTGCCAAAAGTTTCGAAGACGAGCTCGGAAAATCCTTGTTTTAAACATTTCCACAAAAAAGCTCATATTGCGTCTGAACCAAAAGCTGTACACATTGCATCGTCGATGTACAACTTCTACATCTATGGACGAACGCATTGTTGAAAGAGGTTGTTCAGAGATTTGATGCAGCCTAAACGGCTTTGTCACAAGTTGGTTAAACGTCATCAATGCGTTTGCTTGTCCCGTAGGCACACTCAGCCACATATCGCTTGGAGTACTCTCTACTAAGAAACTATAGCCGCCTGTAAACTCTTAGTTATACCTTTCAACAAGGTTAAGAACCCTTATCAAGGTGCAGCCTTAAATCTTAGCACTACCTTATTTTTGAATTCGGCGTTCGAGCCGAAATGGTAGCTGCATTTAGCTTATGATAGGCATGCACAATTCGCCACCTGTCGCAAGCCTATAAGAAATTGTGGCGCCGACTATGGGAGTTTACTCGCTCCCACTAAATTCATTTTGTGCTTCTCACGACAGCGCGTCAATGATATCACACGAATCCCTGACAAGAGTATTGCTGTGCGACGCAATATTTAACTCCTGTATCCAAGTCAATTTCATGGTGCGCTCCTCGATCGGGAGAAAGCATGCATAATGTGAGTTTGTCATCGCCATATCATAATATTCCTACACAAAAATAGTTTAAGGGGTCCTTCAAGAAAGCCGCCAATCATCTCGTACTAAGTGTTTCGCGAGTATCCCCGAAAACAGACTTATCAAAGACCGACGATAAATTCAGCTTTTTCTCCTGTACCAAGCGTATCTTGAGAAAAAGATTCGGTATCCTACAGCCCTTTAAAACAATCAGTGGGATACAACTTTAAACGTAGTTGATACTTCTCACCGAAGATAATAGTAGATGCCTGCATTCTCTTTGAGTACCCTGTCATTCCATTCATGATGAGACCAAAATTCGCAAGCTCATAAATTATTATCGCTAAAGATCTGGCGCTTCTGCTTGCGACTTTGGGTCGCATGATTTCACAGGCGACTAAACGTCAACTTTAATTAATCATTGAAGAAGTTAACTTACAGCTGTAATCATATTTCTCACTCCGGGGACAACGCTACTTATATATATTCCTGAATTTTCGACTCACTATCACTCCTGCCTTCTAAATTTAGCTTAGATCACTACACGATATCTTTGCTGACTATTTTGGGCAATCTTGTGTATAGTATCGAAGCTACCGAGGCTTAAATGTTCACGTCGGCATAGATCCTGATTTTTGGTAACGATAGAAACATAGCTCAGCAGAGCTCTGCCACGAGAGAAGTGGGCGGCACAACATGTTTTCAAACTTTATCGATCTATGGCTCGTGGCCTACAGACCACGCCATACCTTGTTTTTTAAGTACAGACCTAGCCCTGAAGAGGTCTCCACCTTAAAAATCGTCAAATCGCCTTGGGACATCGTGCCCGTATTGAGCATCTTAAATGTCTCCGCGTGCTGTCTACTTATTTCGACAGCTGTGCATTGTATGTAGTTGCGCGACGCTTCTGAATATATCAGGGCTTTTCCCAATATCTCCCACTTTCTAAGCTTTTCACCAAATGCAGCTCTGATTAACTGGCTTACAAAGAGACAATCTGGGGGCCGCAATAGAAAGTCGTTTTTCCTCGCCTAACCCTAAGAACGCGACTAACTACAGCTTTTGCTTATAAGCTCGGCTCAAGTCACATAGCAATATTAGTGCTATCGGATCTGGACAATCTAATAGCTACCATAGCTTCTTGTCCGCGTCGAATACGGTTTCGCTTGCTGGGCGAGGTCAGCCAGTGACTTACCCACATTTCTCAAGGAAAGCAGTACGAAGTGTTAGTTTCTTCGAGTTCAGACAATCAATAGGCCGTGGCGTTACAGCAACTCCATTCCTACAATGCTATCATACTTCAAAGCCAGCTCTAGGGCCATAATTCTACGCACTTGAAATCCTTAAACTAGTCTTGAAACGCAGGCATTAGCTTATATATATTATAGTGTTCCGTCTCAAGATGCACATTATCGGCTTCAAATCTGGAATATATAGTGCCTCTGCTTACTTTTAATTGTGTTTGTTGGATATGCGTCGACTCAATTGCGCGATGCCTCAGAATCTATCAGGACTTTATATGGCTTCACAAAAGATTGGAGCGCTGTCAATAACTACCAACAAACTTGTACTCAAACCATATCCTCTTGTGAAGAGTCGCTCCTTTATTGGGCTGTTTTTATTAAGCATAAACTTCAGAATACTCATTTCTTCTGCAAAAAAACACCTTCTGCCTACTAATACTTGGTCTGAGATGGGGGTCCGTCGAACGTCCTTCAGTAAAAGCTTTATCTTTTGTACCTTTATGCCGAGAGCGAAGGAGATACACAAGGCGCAGACGCTTAGTATATCCACAGATGTGCCGATTGCGAGGACCACGGAGCTGTTCAGCAGCTAGAAACTCACTCTTTTAATATTTAGTATGGCTAAAATTTATTGTCTTGGTACGCGCTTATAAAGCATCCAATTTTCATTACGTAATCTGTTTTAAGGGCACTAAATTGCAACTTGCATTTAATATGGCACCAACTGCTTTCTCGAAAGGGCTAGGTGGACACGTATGGTCTGCAAGCTGCACTTTTCTATACTCTCTTTAAAGTTGGTAGATGTATCACCTGCGATATAGCTCACATCATGTATTCCCATGCTGAAAAATGCATCCTTCACAAAGGCATTGTACGTTAAGACCCATTTTGCGTTCCAATCACTAGCTTGGAGATCGCAAGCGCGACACAGTGTAACTCCGGTCAGAGCGTGGCCGAATTGAAGTCCATCTTAAATTACCAGCCAGAGGGAACATAGTCTCAGCTTTCGCTAAATAAGGTCTGCCCGCGCAGCGCCTGTGGGTTTTCGAGGGCTTGTCATCTTCTCTCGCACAATAGCCAGTTAGTGAGCTCTGTATGGCGCCGCGCCAGCGCGAGATGGCTTTCATGTACGCTTTTACTTGCAATATTTTTATGACTAACAATAGAAATATGGCTCTCAAGCTTGTTTAGCTGTCCGGGAAAGGCATTGAAACATTTGTTATGCACTTTAGAGGATTTAACTTCTTACAATTCTGGCGTGGTATTGTTCAGCTACCAAGTGCTTCGGGGGTGCCGAGCACTTGCACCAAGAAAGCTGCGTCACAAAAGTAGTACAAAACGCTCAGATTGAGCTTATCGATTCCTTTTGGAGCAAAATACTTTTTTTAGAATCCTGATTTAATAATTTTTCCTATTCAAATTTGATATGTTTATAAGCTAATGTTTTATAGACAAATAGTTAATACATTCGTTTCACGGTCTCTGGCATTATTTTCTAGTAACACATGCAACACGGACCCCGCCTATCAAACTTGCATTATCTTTGTAGGCACCGACATCTCGAAATATATGATTAATTATGATTAAGTACAATCAGGAATTTGCGTATTTGAATAGTGATGTATTTAGCACAACCGTATCAGGAGCGTAATGCGAAAGTACACAATAGTATAGTTATTATCTTCTTACAATAATTCATCAACATCTTTTGAGTCAAAAGACTTCTTACTCGGTACTCTTATGAGTCAAAAGACTTCTTACTCGGCTATGAGCTGTGTCCTAGCATTTAGTAAAGAAGATTCATCAGCTCTGCATTCCAAGCCATCAAACCAAAATCTAAGGCGCACTGTACTACAGTACACCAGACGTAAAGGCAATCAATTCTTCCACAGCGAGCGCCAGCAGTCAAACGCTTCCAGACGTTCTGACTGTCAACTGAATTCCATACCTTTGGTCTGAGCCATTCACGTAGTCATTTGTTAAATGTTTGGCAGAAGCAATGTTTCTACTGCTAAATAATTATAGATAATTGGAATTCACGTGCTCTGGTAAGAAGGGTGTGGTCACACAAGATGGTGTGAACATGGTGACACTTCAACAAGAAGTCAGTACGTGGCTGGAACAGCCAGCAGTTACACATTTGATTAGGTTTTACTATATAGATAGAAAAAATATGGACTTAGATAAAAGCGGCTTTGCGGCAAGTAAAACCAAGAATATAGTTCACGTTTTGAGCGGAAGGGTTTATTAGCTTGGGGTAAGGTTGAAACTACTTTTGGAGTAAGTGGGTTGCGATCCGCTGCACTCGTACTGGTTCCAAGTATAGAGCGGAGGTCACTGACCTTAACCAAGCTTCCTCTAATCAAAGAGCTACGTCAGCTCCGCTGCATAAATATTTTACGTCATTCACGCTCTTCAACTATTTATGTTGTGTCCGAGATATCAGCATTTGCCCCAATGATGCGGTCATTGTTTTGCTTGATATTTTGCGCCTCTCAAATAATTTTTAAGCAAATTGAGTGTCCAGGATAAATACCAGTTCCGTGATGGTCGCTGCGTCAATATGCTTTTTACTTGTCATTTTCCGGGGGACCGCGGCCAATCTGCGTAAATTAACATTTTCAACAGTATTATAAAGACAACTGCGCTGTTTACCCTTATAAGTACCGAAAAGACCGGATTGTCAATTTGATGTAAGAAACTGCATCACTTATATGTATAATTGAGAGAATAAGCCGTTCAGCTAGATATACAGCTAAGATTCGGCAGTTTAATTTCGAAGGCCGGAAACCAAATTTATTTGACAATGTTTTTGACGCCTTTATAAACATATTTAAAGAGCTATGGCTTAGAACAGCTTTACTTGCTAAAACATAGTAGCCCGTTATCGAGCAGCCGCTACCAAAGCCAGAGGCTAGACTTAATATTCGGTTACCAAGACGGACCCAGTGCACTTACAATACTGACCATGGCTGCTTTTCGTTCTAAAACGAAGACAAGCATACTTGGTATTAACGGACACGAAGCCTGATCTCGAAAACAAACAAACACACGACATGTACCAGCGACAATATAAGAAGTAGTGCTTTGCAATAGATTCACAGTAGCACTTTGCACCGAGGACACATTGGTTCATATACGCGTTAACAAATGCAGAGAAAAGCTCAAGTGCTAATGCCTTCAGCGTCCTCTCAAGTCCCAGATATTTCATACTGGTGTTATGCTAGAGTGATTTATTTAAATTAGATGAACTCGATCAAATTTAATATATCGCTCTTATCAATAACAAAACCCTTGAATCAATGCGTATGGCTAGCAGTCTCGTATCCTTTGGCCCGCTTCTTTGTTGCATTTAAATCATGCCTAGTACTTGATCTATATAAAATTTGCACGGTACTGAATACAGTACTGTACTACGCAGTACTTATGAGATTTGCTACAGTATGAAGAAATATGTATAATGTGACCCGCTTTGTCTCTCGATAAACCCCAGTCAAAACGGCAATCCTGTTAAAAGCATATTTCTCAAAAATATATTCCCCGCGGCCTACACTCTACACAACTTACGCAAATTACAGCTACACAAAGTTTAACAGTCACAGGTGACGTGAAATACCTGTAGATTATAAAAGTTGCGCACAGAGGCTATAACTAATGGCATGAAAGGCGGATTATTGTGTGGCGCCTCATCACCAACTAAAATACTTTATAAGGAAATCGATGGGCTACGAAACCATGTTGGCACATTTTGCACGAAAAAGGTAGCCAATTTATGCGGCCTTAGCAAACCACTTCAAATTAGTGGCGCTTGTGTCATTCACTTTGGGATAAGTACTTGGGAGATTTTTTTAAACAGCACATTAATCAATGAAGACCCGAAGGGCGGAAACAATGGACTTTATCTCCCTTAAAGGTTGTTTAGAATTCGGCATGGCTACGATCTGTCACCTATCCCCACCCCGTATCCAATGGCACTTGCGGATCAAGGATTGTATTAATTTGGAGCTTATAGTTAAGCATAATCAAACATTAATTACCTTCTTTCAAGGTAGATAAAACTACAGATTGCACGTAGGAAGGCGGATTTAACGATTCAGACAATAAGTAGAATTTGACGTGCCTCCTATATTAAGGGGGCCAAACGTTTGTATTCATTTTAATGAGAGCCTTCTAGCTTGGTTGCACGGATTGACTTTGTTTCGTCTGGGGGCTGGGACGACTGTATATTCATCCTCTGTTCGTATCCAGAGGAGGCAATCCAATTCATCTTTTTTCAAGACTCCAACTAGTCGACCAATTTATGGTTCTCTTTTAAGGGCATTGGCGCTGTTAAGGGCGACTGACTGAGAATTTTTCGGAATTGTCAAACTAGTGCAATCATATCGTAAGTGAACACCTCATGACTAGCGGCAATCGCTTCTACCATTAATTGCGTAATTATAGAGCCAACAAAGGGCGTAAATAAGTTATACGTATTTATATGGCCCGTGTTTCAAAATATTTGTTCATCCTTATAGAGAATACTGTCACCGCCACCAGACGCTCTACGGATACTACCAAGTGCAACAGAGTTGCCGTGGTAAATTGCTCAGAAAGGTATATGACTCGTTGTCTGAAGCTGAGACTACCGTATTACGGCGATTGTGCAAAGAAAACATATGTGTAATGCACAAGACTGTCAAAGTATCGCTTCTTACGAGGGCGATGGGACTTTGAAGTGGAGAAGTCATCACGGCACGTCTGCATGTCACGCAGAACAATGTCATTCATTAAATATAGCAAAACATGTAAAAATAGTACATTTTTGCTAGATTAATTCTAGCTTGAAATATAAGTCACTTGAGAAATTAAGTAAGACTAAATTCGTACAAGAATACCTGAGAGGTCCTTGGTTTTGCTTCTATGTTGAGTACTGAAACCCGTCAGATCTGCTATTTACGTGGACGCTTTGAACAAAAACTTTCTCTGAACAAGTTGCTTTGCATTCACGTTGAACTGGGTTAGTACTAGTCGTCAATCCGACACTAAATTTTCAATACGCTGTTTCATTTGTTGAAATCAATTTGTTTGAACATAAGTCCCTGGGCAACTAGTTAGCTTATTTCTATCGTAAGTTTCGAGGAGATTGTACATATCGCGGGCCAATAGAAAGGGGTCAACACCCCGCGCTCGCTATCAACAATCATGCACAGAGATTACACCTCCAAAGCTTTGGTGGCGATTAAGCGGCTCTCACTGCGAGGTCGCTTATACTAAGCATCACCTTCCTCCAAAAGAAAAGATGAGCAAATCTTTATCGGGATGTGAGAAGGTGAAATGGCTCTAAATATAGTATAGCACCCAGATAAAGCAACTGCGCGTCATGTTGCCGGTCTCCAAACTAAATGACCATGTACGAACATAACGGCCATACCTATTGGACAGGTATTTCTAGCACAGACTAAGAGGCTTTGGATGTGTTTGCACCGTCTCATTAGGCGTGTCACACGCAATCAAAATCTCGTCCATGTGCCAAGGGAGGAATTTAAGCTGAAAAATCGCGGGGGTTCCATCGCAGTATTGGCAGTAATCTTTCTCCCGGATGGGTCAATATTTACTGTCACTATGAAGGATCTCCATGCCGATACGACTCGCACCGAGACCTTTCGCATCCACACTATCTCTTATATTAACACGGTGGATGTCATTTTTAAATGCAAAGTACAGCTTTTGTGCCACGAGGGGCGGTTGGAAGCGGGAGATAAATGCTCCATGAGCGCGCAAGAGGTGATGTATTACATTTATACTAAAGAGTAAAATCGAGAAATTTTAGCTGATCAGTAGCGTCGTGGGTTTGCAAAGACAACATATCATACATGTTGCCCTCTTCTTTTTCGATGATGCTGCATTAAGGGTCAAGCTCACATGCAGGATCGTCCGACCAACCACTCACGGGATATTTTTAGGCCTCAACAGGCATAGGGCGTTGTAGTTTCTACTAGAATTCTTGGTGGTCAAGGCTAATCGTATCCAACCGTAAAGAAAGCAACTTTCTCAAATGGTTAGGGCACATGGCTTAGGGTTGTCAGCTGTCAAGCTAGAAACAACCCGGGATGTGTAAGGCCATGAGAGGTACTGATGGATTCATATGTGTTCTGCAACACTTAATGACGCGCGTCTGTCAGTAATAGCCCACATCACATGGAGAAATTGACGTAACTTCATAAGTTTACGATTATCGGAATATCACTCGCTCTCATGTGCAATTGGTAATAACCATTGACTAAGTCGAGTGCGCTGTGCTTTGTACAGCAAACCATAATGTTCTGGAGAATATCCTCTCCAGGAATCGGCTGTGCCAAAATAGTGGCAGCTTTTAGCTTTTTATAAGCGTGAACAATACGCCACTTGCCGTTCGGCTTCGGGGCACAAAATGTGGATGTCGCTATAAATTAGAGATTTACAGTGTAAACCATTCTTCTAGACCTGAATTTGAACTAGATGTGCTTGGTGTGACCTAAACGCCTTCGGCCATAGATGGTCTTGAAGTCGAAATGGTAAAGTTGTCTCGCTCTTATGAACAGGTGGGGCTATAGTTAGTCATGAGCGTATCTTTGCTCGGACGAAAAAGCGTTTTTGGTGTGAGTTCGAGCTCGATAGCTTTCTCGCAGGACGTACGATCGCTAAAGGTAATGTGAAACCATGTTGTTGATAGACAAGAGCAAAATTGGGAAGGCATGAGCGGCAGTGAGTCGCAGTCTCGCGATAAGACTAAAATTAGCGATCTTGTATCCCAGTATCAAAATGTCTCTCTGCTCAGACAGCATAAGAGACGGGATGTTGTACTTAGATTGTGAAACAACAAATTGGACATTTAATTTCAACTGTTTGTTGGATCTTCCTTTGTAAGGACCGATGGCAACAAGTAAGAGTGTGCGTCGCTGTCTCCAGTGTCAGAGCCAATGAAGACGGGCGGATGTATTTAGAAAGGCCAGGGGTCTATCCTTATCATGATGTAATGGTAATGCTGAGTCAGTCTCTTGTATGACGACCCACAGTGTAGGACAGCGACGCTTCACGGGCTGTGTCGAGAATGGCTATAAATGTGAAAGGAGTACTGAAGTATTCCTAGGATTTGTAAGTTTCTCTCATTACCTCCGGCAGATGTACACTATATTTGTGATAAGTACTTCCTACGCAATTTTTAAAGAGTTGCAAATTTGCAAGATTACCAAAACGGTACAATATACTGGATGATGAGCTGAGTTGATAATCCGCCATCATTGGATCTATCGTTGGTATCATTTCTCTAATCAATGAGTGCAAAGAGTGGGATTCCAATCCCAATAAATTCTACAGATCATTTACCTTTTAGATGAAACAGCAGACAAAGCACCCACCACGAGTTTAATACCTCGTGGTGAAGAGAATCGTGAAATTGCCCGTTTTCGCTAATTAAAAGCTCGACAATGAAATGTTTTGACACAGACGCTTCCTTGAGTGCGAAGCACGATGAGGTTTGGTGTGGGAGAAGATGTCTTCCCATTAGGCGCTTATGTTCTATGTCAAAAAGGCTGACAGAATTGGGTCTAAATGCACTAGATTTCTCGGCGCAAACATTGAATTCGTAAAATGATGTGCTACGGTCATTTGGATCTTGTCTAGTTGTGTGTAACTTGCTGATGTATTTTATCAGTCGCTCATGTGAAACAGTAATATCTCTCCAATTGGATTTTGTACTTTGACTGATATGGCAGGTCTCATATCACAACGATTGCAATCATCAGCGACGTTTAATCGTATAAAAGCGCAGCTTTGGTGTCACATCATATCGATACGCCAGCAAATTTGTGTGACAAACTAGTTAGTAGACGTGCAGATCACGAAAACCGGATGTGCTCCTTCACGTCTAATACTTGCGAGCAGCGTTTTGAGTATATGCGCTTAAAATACATTGCCAATCTATACAAGTGTGTCTTTGGTTCGAGGTATTCTGGAATGCTTCGTTTGGAAGCATGACTTTCAAACAGACTTTGCTTTCAAATGGTAGATCTAACGAGTAGATCTAATGACTATTACATATTGGCCAGTGCCTTGTCTCAAATGGATTAACAAAATTGGCTTGTGGCTTAACCAACTACTTGCACAAGTATAGCTCAGATCATATAAACACGGCACTGCTATCTCAAATCCTTCTAAAATGGTTGCCAAATGGTGCTGGGTTATCGGCTTTAGAGGATGTGAAAGTGATGCACGAACTTCGGTCCTCCCACCATCCACATCTGCATCGGCCATTTATATCGTTTGTGAAACTTCAGCTTCTATCATAGACTTTGATGACTCCAAGCCGATGCCGATGAGCATGAATGTGTGATTGTAGTAGAGTATCTCTTGCCCAAAATGGTAGAGAAAAGCTACTCAGTCCACAATGCGAGGCTACTTGTATCGGAGGATGTCCTCGTCATTTTGGGGTTCTTTTTTGGCCCGAATGCCTCGTGATCACATCTCTCACGGTTAATACCAAGCTGATAATCCATCTTTGTCTCGTATGCTTTTTGAGTATTGTGTATGTAGCGTCGGTACGAAGTATACACTTACACTCTCCCAAATGAATGTCACGAAGGTGCCGTCGGGGCGATACCTACGCCTGTAAGATCAGGCGCGACATGTGCTTCATTGCTAAAAGCTTCAATAAGGAAGGGTTTTTCAAGATCAGTTACCGCGTAATCAACGCGCGAGGTTGTACGCCTACCCCGAGTGGTTTTAGCCCGAGGCTTTCTTTATAACGGCCCCGACTCACATAAAACTCAGCGTGTAGTGTTGGCTTGTGACGCGGACATCATGTGCATAAGTCTGTCGATACGAGGTAAACAATAATCCTTTGAGTTGCCACCTAAATAACTGCTCGATGAGCGCAATTTTTTGGTGGACAACATGTATAAGAGGGTAAGCCCAATGTACGCACGTGTGAAGCGTGTGAATGGGTAAAAGTGTCGCCACATACGTTGGCTCCATCAGCCGTCCTGTCAGTTCCAGTGATTATTTTTAGTATTTTGTGAGCTATTTTAAAAGACGATCCCCGAATTACCGGTATCGAGGCCTTTGTGAGCTGTCTCAGCAAAACTGATGATCTTGATATTGTCAGCTATCAAATAGCTGATGAGGATACACCCATGCTGTTCTGAAACATGTTTCGTCATCATTTCTTGTCGGTGGCCATAGCATTGAAAAAAGGAAGGCGCTTTTCAGCGAACTTTTCAAGTTTAGTTCGAGTTGCAAGGAGCCAGATTGGATAATTTAAGCGCTAAACAACGAAAACAGATGGCCAAATGGAACGTGCCAGTCGCGTTGTGAAGGATATTTTCAAAGCTATGGGTCTGCCATACCACGGTGCTCGCTCCAACCAATCAAATTCGCGATTACTCACGCAGTGCGTGTGTCTACAGGCTTTACTCAATTCACAAAAATGATTCTGTAAGCCCCCTTGAGGCCACAACAAAAACGGCTTTGATCTTAGTATTGGATGTGCCGTCGACTTGCTAATATCCTCAACCTCTCGACAATTCGTAGCACTTTCATTGACGTTATCTCAATATGATATTTACCGTCATGCGCAAGGTGTGCAGAGCTATGGCGGAGAGCCAGTATGTTTTGATGATGCCAGAGGCAGCCGAAAAACCAAGAATGTTAATGGGGCAATATGTCCTACTGAATATAGTAAACCTACTTTCACATGTAGTGTCTGCGGTATATAAAGCTACACTGTGACGCACTAAATCGGACCGTTCACTCCGTAACGAAAAATGGCTTGGACTATACTCGTGTGCTCTACGTTAGCTTACTATACCCATATCGCATTACGAGCCCGTCAGATGTGAATTGCCTAGCTGAAGAGGCACAACATGTGCATGCCTACGCACTCATCTGCTTTCGAGCAGCAACGCAATTCCAAACCGCTGGGACCACTGGTCGGGCGGCGAGTATATCAAGGCTTTGACAAGTGTCTGCTGAATTAAAAGAAAACCCAAAATTATTGGGAGCTTGTGGCTCCACGTATGTACGATTGACTTGGCAGCGTTGTCACTTACAAATTGGCTAGCCCTCAGCTTTCTCTCTTTCTGGAAAGAGGCTCGTTTCACTCTCAATATGAGTGGAAGGGAAGGCAACATTGTAGCATGAAATTCTATTCAGTTTTTCTGATTATGGTCACTCTTATAAATACAGAGCTAACTAGTAATAGCTCGTCGTTCGGCTCCCTAGTGAAGCGTCTTTGATAGAGATATTTATATACATGCGTTAATTTTAGATATATAAATCTAAGCAGTTATCAGTCCAAAGTAAAATCACACCGTTATATTTTTTCAGAAAAGGTTAAAATAACAAAAATATACAGAAGAAATAAGAAATCCTAAATCAAACCCTCATATTACGGCACGGTACCGTCGTGAAATAGGTAAAAGTCCGAATAATTACAAACCATCAAATAATTTAATTGTATTAAAGGATCTTTTACGTAAGAAATGATCTATTAAATATAGAATCTCCAATTTCGTGTAACCCACATCATACTTTATTCAAGGTCAAGTGAGGGGCCGCAATTCAAAACTCCGCTATTTGCCGCGCTTCGCCCGCATCACTCACGAGATCTCCTCGACATCGCTTGATAAAAATGACGGTATGGTTACACTCGTTTCTTGTTCTTACTGCATATCTGTAGCCTGATAAAAATGGGCTCAAAAGTTGGTTCCTGTGAGTACTAACTTCAATTTGTCATTTTACTGGCTGTGGCTTCTCGGCAGGTATCCGGTGCAAAGACAAAGGAAGCTGTTGAGAAACCTGTAAACACTAAGGAGATTAAAGAGAGTGTTCAACCAACGGTTGATGAAGAGGATCATAGTGGCGCTGAGGACGAACAGGAGAATACCGAGGACGATGCGGAGCAGAATGATGGTGAAGAGGGTAATGATGATGATGATGGAGGATCAGAGGAACAAGTAGGATTGTCTTACTTATATTCAAATATTGAAGACGATGATGAGAATGATGAAGATTTTAAGGATGATACAGCTCAAGATGATGAAGAGGGAGATGATGATGAGAACGAGGAGAATGATGAGAACGAAGAGGATGACGAGGAGTTTGATGACGAGGCTGATGGCGATGAGGATGATGCTGCTGAGGATGAGGATGGAGATGAAGAGGATGATGACGAAGAGAATGGTCCACCAGGTGTGTAGTATTGCTAGTATGCACTAACATGCAAGTTTATTAACTTGATCTCTTGCAATTTTACAGCCAAGAAACAAAAGAAGTAACCTCTTTCGTACGATAAACTGCGGGAAATTGGGTAGTGAACCAGGATTAGTGACATTCGGGACAAAGAAGTCTTCCATGATTTTCTGTCGTGTCATTACAACTCTTTTGCAGTTCTAAGTGCTTTTTTAAGGTAATCTTTTCATATAACTCATTATCAACTCCATTGAAAGCACATATATCGATAGTGTAAGAGGCATCAGTTGATTTATTGCGTAAAATGTTCACTGGTCATTGCTGTTAACCAACCATGGTGCGCTTTCGACCCCGAAGACGCACTTGAGACAGTTTTTGAAAGATCGCGTCGGAGCGTCGAGACTTTGCTCGGTATGCACGCAAGACCTCTTCAACCTATGAGTTACACGCCAAACACGTAAGCCAGTGATTTTTCCAAGCGTTATCTTACTATACGACACACCAGAAGCTCCGAATTGACGTGTGTGCTTGCAAACGCACGTTCCATTACATAAAGATCCACAGCTTTATCTTCCGGTAGTGGCTGGGAGCTAGCTAACCCGAAGTCGATGAGTGTCTACGACCACAATGTCATTTCTAAGTAGATGGATTAAATCGCCACACCCGTAATCCATGACGTACTACATTTGTAGCATCATCGCTACTCAGCATCATATTTGACGTTGTCAAGTCTCCGTGGACAATATCGGCGTCATGCATCTTTGCAATAGCTTCACCAATATGATACGCTTTTTGAGTCGCTTGTGCGCCATACGTTGGATCTACATGATAATTGGCGATGATAAATAAACATTCAATCTCCATTCTTCATTAAATCAACAGATAAAGTACCAAGCTTGTAGGCTCGTCGCAAATAGTCCTTCAGACTACCACCAAGCACTTTTTCCATGTAGAGACGGCTCTTGTCTTCATCCACCATATAAATTACGGGCGTTAGGATGCCAGCACGACGGCATTTCAGGATACATCGAACTTCTTGCACCAAACGACGGTGTGATAGTTTCTTGTCTAGCACTGGCAGTCGGTAGCTCTTCTTGACGCGCTCTTTGACAATGCAGGCACGGCCAACAAAATCTGTTTCGTACACTTTCTATTTGATATTTATACACGCGTAAGATACGTTTTACTCAACAAGAAGATGATCAAAACAAGCTCCATACAGCCTCAGCGCCCTGACTAATGAGTTGCCATTTCTCCTCCGCCATGATCAATTTCAAGCGTGGATAACGAGCACATTATCACCAATCAGCTTGGCTACTTTTAATCTGAAAAATATAACAGGATTCAACCTTGATATAAACATCTTGAGGCTAAAAGTCACCTCGATTTAGCGACTCATGAGGGCGTGATAGATTGCCAATGAGAAGAGAGAAAACTTCAAAGAATAGGTAACAGCTTGTTGCCATGGTTTGATGATATTTTTACGATACCCAGATGCAGTCTTAGTCGTTAGAGTGATTTCTTCTAGACTTAAAGTGAAGTCAATCCTTTGACTTTTAAAGAAATGATCACGTAAATGCTACGACAATGTATTACGCACGGCCTCGAATACATAAGCGTCGTCTTTAAAAGCTGCAATTATATATGTGTGCCTCCAATTGAGTGTGTGTGAAACGGTAAATGGCTCGCTTGTCGTTTGAGCTGGAGCGGATAAGGTGATAGACATCTAGAAACTCTATTCCGAATGACACCACAAGCTCGTGTTAGAAGAACAGCTATCAGCTGTTAGAAGAACAGCTATCAGCACACGTTGCGCGACATCAAATCTCCGGACCATAGGACGACGTGATTGCGCATTCGATGACGCGACATGATTACGCA